AGAAACAAGAAGAAATCCCAAGCCACAGTTAAAATACAAAGAGAGACAGAAGGGAATATGTACTCACAGACTAGGAATCCACAAACGCACTGTTTTGTCTCTAGAGCCTGAAGCCACCAGGTGCCCAGAGGGTGAAAACTGGACACACATCACTGCATCTCTGTGGCCCACAAAGCGATAGGCTCTCGTCTGAGGCTTCATGCTCCAGATCATCAGGCACGAATCCATTGAGCCACTTGCTGAAATACAAGAAGAGAAACAAAACCACACAAAACCCAGCTTGCATTAGTTGTCCTCCAATTGCACAAAAACGACATTGCACGTTCATTTCACCATCACTGTTTCCAGCAGCCTCAAGTACATCGTCCTTAAAGCTTCACCAGTATACTTCATGCTGTGTATTTCATTAGTGATTCAAACACAAGGGCAGTCATCCTTTGCCTTGGACTGACAAGTTACTTCCAAGAGTGCAGACATGCAACAGCTGTAGACAGAGAAGCCACACAGATTGCAAAGCTTCTTCCAAATAAATACACTCAGGAAACACACAGAAGGTCTGTGAATAAAGGTTCTTTCATCACCTTCTCACTGGGAAGCAGCGGCAGGTATCAGCTGCAGCAGGTTAAAAATATCGAGTAACACGGTACAGATTAAGCAGAGCAGCACAGTGAGTTGGTGACTTAAAGGCAACCTGGCTACATCTCCCTCCAACATCTCTCCTTTGCTGCAAAACATTGACCAAAGTCAGCACAGCAGTTCCTAATAACACATGAAAAAACACAAGCTTGCAAGATGACTAGAGCAGTGCTCAGTTTGCTGTTGGGACAAAGGGCCAGGAGGACCTTTTGCTGAACTCAGTACCTCCACTGCCCCTCCATTTAACTAAAGCAGAGAAGCTCCTTCTTTCCCATCTGGCCATCCAAACAAAGACAATTTACCCAATTGTTTCTTATTGAGGCTGAAGTCCACACTAGTGACAGCATCTCTGTGGCCTTTGAAGTGTCTCTGCAGGGACGGATCTTCCTAGAAGACAATAACATTCAGACACTGTAGATTAAGAACCACCTTTGAACAGTAAAACCATTTTGTTTCTACAACAAGTGAACCAAGCCACATATTCACCCCCCCCCAAAAAAAAAAAACAGAGACAAGAACACTGCACAACACAAACCACAAATTTCACATGTATCAAACTTTAAAAGAGACACATTATCCAAGCTGATAACCTCTCTGGATCTTAAGCAACTTTGCACGAATCCCTCATGCATCTTTACAACACACTGCTGGTACAGAGCCCCCAAAGCTGACTTTGGAACATCAGCCATGTCAATGACCCCTAAGCAGGCAGTGAAGCTCAGCTTTGCTCTAAGAGCTGCTCATCTCAGCCCAGGTGCAGCCAAGAGGCCATTACTTACACAGAATAGGCCAATTTGCAAGATTCAACACACTTGTTTCAACAGGTAGAAAGAATCAGAACTACAGCAAAACAGTTCCCTGCAGCTGGGAACACAGTATGTCCCTAGACAGCACCTTGCTGCAGAGGCCAAAAAAAGCCTGAGGTCAGGCAGAAAAACAAACAAAAACCTGAGAGAACCATTACAAGAGGATTTAACACTTGAAAACTGCCCAAATTTCAGGACAGGCTGATCAGCCTTCAATCCCTGCTCTCATACACACAGCCTTTGTCTCCCTGGCAATCTCCACCACAGCACTGCATGCTGTGTATTTCATTAGTGATTCAAACACAGGGGCAGTCATGCTTTGCCTTGGACCAACAAGTTACTTCCAAGAGTGCAGACATGCAGCAGCTGCAGACAGAGAAGTCACACAGGTTGCAAAGCTTCTTCCAAATAAATACACTCAGGAAACACATAGAAGCTCTGTGAATAAAGGTTCTTTCACCTTCTCACTGTATTGCCCACAGCCCCAGTCTGCTCAAACAGACACCCAGCCTCACAATGGGGCTGACCTTCACCCACAACACCCAGTCCCAGATCCAGAGCCTCACACACACCAGCCTAGACATGCCCTACACACAAACACAGACCAATCTCAGCTGCCACAGGACTTGGTGGCAGGTTCCCAAGACCCAGGGCTACCTAGGCAGCATTACAATCCCATGCAGTGCTCCAGGCTGGGGACAGAGTGGCTGGAGAGCAGCCAGGCAGAAAGGGACCTGGGAGTTTGGATAGATAGAAAGCTGAACAGGAGCCAGCAGTGTGCTCAGGTGGCCAAGAAGGCCAATGGCATCCTGGCCCGGATCAGGAACAGCGTGGTCAGCAGGACCAGGGAGGTGATTCTGCCCCTGTACTCGGTGCTGGTGAGGCCACACCTTGAGTACTGTGTGCAGTTCTGGGCCTCTCAGTTCAGGAGGGATATTGAGGTGCTGGAGCAGGTCCAGAGAAGAGCAACGAGGCTGGCGAAGGGACTCAAGCACATGTCCCATGAGGAGAGGCTGAGGGAGATGGGGGTATTTACCCTGGAGGAGGCTCAGGGGAGACCTTA